CCAGGAGGGCTTCTGGTGCCATGGTCATGATTTGTGATGAAGGGGAACTTAGGGGGAAAAAAAAAACACTGTGGCCAATAAATTACTGGCAGGTACTGGTAACCTTGAGTAAAATTTAAGCATTCTTCTGGCCCCAACTAACAGACTAAATGTCCTGTTTCTTTGTACCCTAAATCTTTGTATGTGACTGTCATATCCCACATGACGGCTAGTTCCTTGGGATGTATAAAAACCATATAAATTCTAAAATAAATCGTCCTGTTGGGAAGACACAGGTCCCAGAGTTTGACTCTGTCGCCGATCAGACCCTCTGCCCCGAAGCCAGCAGGCCCCCCGCTAAGCAAAGCAAACCTGAGTCCCCACAGATTACTCTTTGATGAACTTTAATTTCTACTTTATCATAAAGGCTGGAGTGTAGTTCAGTTGGTAGTGCTTGCCTAACATGCACAAATCCCAGTACCATGTAAATTGGTCATGGGGGCACACACCTGCAGTCTCAGGACTCTGGAGGGAGAACTAGAAGTTCAAGGTCATCTCCTACTACATGAGTATGAAGTGAGCTTGGAATACATGAGACTGTTTCAAACATGAAAACAGAAACCAAATAGATTTACAAGTAGAAATCCACACTTGCTCCTATCTTTCTACTCAAGAAGGTATCTCCACTCCTTTCAGTATCTCCACTCCTTTCCAAGTTTTTACTTTTCTTTGATATCCTCCCCGCCCCAAATCTTACTATCATCATATATCTCTTCTCTTGTACTAAATCCTGTTGTCCTCCTCTTGGTCTACAACTAAATTATCAGTCTCTTAGGGAATTAGCCTCAAGCTCATCTACCTACTTGTTCCTCTATATTGCTTCCCTGATCAAGAATTCAAGCTAAGGGGCTGGAGAGATGGTTCAGCAGTTAAGAGCACTAGCTGATCTTGCAGAGGACCTGGGCTCAGTTCTTAGTATTTACATGGTGGTTAACCACCACCTCCAACTCCAGTTCCAAGGGATCCAACAACCTCTTTTGGCCTTTGTGGGCATTGCACACACATGGTGCACTTATATACGTGCAGACAATACACATAAAAATTTTTTTTAAAAATCAAAAAACTAGGGGGTTGGGGATTTAGCTCAGTGGTAGAGCGCTTGCCTAACAAGCGCAAGGCCCTGGGTTCGGTCCTCAGCTCTGAAAAAAAAAAAATTCAAAAAACTAAAATAAAAATTTTTAATTAAAAAAAAAATACAAGCTTACTTAGCATTGCATGGGAAGGCCTTCTTGACCTTCCCACCTCCTCTCAGCCTAACTCCCTCTGCCACTGTACAGGAAATGATTATACTCACTCCCAATATCAAGCAAAATGCACCCACTCATGGCTGGGCGTGGTAGTGCATGCCTTTAATCCCAGCACTTGGGAGGCAGAGGCAGATGGATCTCTGAGTTCAAGGTCAGCCTGGTCTACACAGTGAGTTCTGGGACCGCTGGGGCTACAGGGAGACCCTGTCTCAAAAAAAAAGACCAAAAAATTTTAAAAAAGCACCCATTCATTTACCATCGAGTACCTGTATTAACACCATCTTACAGAAATGAAAGAATTCATTTCCAGCCAGGTGTAGTGGCTCATGCCTGTGATTCCACACTTGGGAGGCTGAGGCATAGTCAATTTCCAGACCAGCCTGGGTTACAATGAAACCCTGTTCAAGAACAAAAAATTGTTCCCCATGACCATCCCTCTTTCTTGCTGGAGAAAACACTTCTTTTATAAGCTTTTGGTGCTTCTGTGCCCTTCTGAGGTTGTGTATTTGCATCATGCAAGAGGAAGAAGCACTAATTCCTAACTTGCTCACCACATCCTTTAAAGAATGAGTGTCTTAACACTGTGTAAGTCATGGTCTAATATTTTCTATTCAAATTACACATGTATATGAAAAACGAGGCACTGTAATGTTCTCAGGGATGCCTTCATTTGGTTGTGAGGAAGGCTCTTCCTGCATGAAGCCTTAGGTAACACTAATTCAATCATCACCACCATCTTGCATGCTTAACGGTTCTCTACTATTGAGTTCTACTCCAAGCTTTGGTTCTGACTTTAGGCCTTCTCTCATTCTACCTTAACTAATCTTTTTCTTTTTAAATGTGTTTTGCCTGCATGTATGTAAGTATACCATGTGCATTAATGTAATGCCCACAGAAGTCCAAAGGCAGCATCAAATTCCCTGGGAATTGGAGATACTGACATCTGTTAGCAGTATTGTGGGTGCTGGAACTGAACCTGGGTCCTCTGCAAGAGCAACCAGTACTCTTAACTACTGAGCCCTCTCCAGTCCCCTGCTTACCTACTCCTGCCCTGTTTCTACACTCCAAGTCCCTCCAAGACAGGTCCTGAATTTTTATTTATTTTTGGTCTTTCTGAGACAGGGTCTCCCTGTAGCCCCAGTGCCCTTGAACTCATAGAGATCCGCCTGCCTCTGCCTCCCAAGTGCTGGGATTAAAGGTGTACGCCACCACAACTGGCTTTTATCTTGTATTCTTAACACATCTGCCTAAGCTACAGTAAGAAAAGAAGGTTAATAGAATAGAGATGTTTTTCTTTTCTAGGCACAGTTTAGCAGTAAGAAATCAGGAGCTGGGTATGGTGGTTCACATCTGTAATCCCAGCACTTGGGAAGCAGAGGCAGGATGGATCAGGACAAATTTGAGGCCCTGAGGGTTACATAATGAGGCCTTATCCCAAAAATCAAATATTGAAAAGGAAAAAACCTAGCCTTCATCCTTTTTTTTTCTTTTTTGCAATACAGGGAATGAAACCCAGTGTCTTGTATCATCTAGGCAAGTGCTCTACTACTGAGCCACATTCCCATCTCTAAATTAGACCCTTTTAAAGGGTTCAGATATCCTTTGGTGGCACCTGTCTCTAAGACTCCTCAGAATCTGTCAATACTGGCAGACAAGAAAGGAGCACTAAGCTGAAGGGTGGCTGGAGAGGCCCAAAAATGGTTCTGGGAGCTAGAGAGATGGCTCAGTGGTTAAGAGCACTGACTGCTCTTGCAGAGGACCTGGGTTCAATTCCTAGCACCCACATGGCAGCTATGAACCATCCTTGACTCCAGGTCCAGGGGAATCTGAAGCCCTCTTCTGACCTCCACAGCATTGCACAACATGGGTGCACCCACATACATGCAGGCAATACACTCATACACATAAAATTAAAAAAAAAAAAAAAAGCCAGGAGTGGTGGCACATGCCTTTAGTCCCAGCACTTGGGAGGCAGGGGCAGGCGGATCTCTGAGTTCAAGGCCAGCCTGGTCTACATAGTGAGTTCCAGGACAGCTGGGGCTACAGGGAGACACTGTCTCAAAAAGAGCCCATCCACCCCGCCCCAAGAAAAAAGGTTCTTTGGGGCTAATAGATGGCCCAGTAAGTGCTCGCAACATAAGCATAAGGGTCTCAAGATCAGGTCTCTAGCACTCACATAAAAGCTGGATATGGTGGCATATCAGTAACCTTAGGCAGGGGTGGAACAGGTAGATTCCAAAAACTCACTGGCCAATCAATCTAGCCAAGTGGTGAGCTCTGGGCTCATTGAAACTATCTCAAAAATAAGGGCATGGTGGCACATGCCTTTAATTCTAGCACTCAGGTGGCAGAGGCAGGAGGATCTCTGTGAGTTCAAGGTCAGCCTCGTCTACACTGAGAGTTCCAGGCCAGCTGGGGCTGCAGGGAGATCCTGACTTAAAAAAAACAAAATATATATATTTTAACTGACAGCAACCTCTGGCCTCTACATGTGCATACATCACAGCCCATGTAACCAGACACAAACACGTACTCATACATATACTGTATTCACCAATTTTGTTTTAAAGTTTTTATTTTTTATTTTATGTGTATGCATGTATTGCCTGCATCTAAGTAAATGCACCAGTGTCATGCAATGCCCAAGGAGGACAGAAGAGACTGTTGGATCCCCTGGAACTGGAGTTACGGACAGTTGTTAGCTGCCATGTGGGTGCTGGGATTCAAACCTGGGACTTCTGTAAGAACTGTCAGTGTTCTTAACCGATGCGCCATCTCTCCAGCCCCCAAGAATAGTTCTTATTTTGACGAATTCAACCTCTTTAAGAATTCAATGGAGGGGCTAAAAAGATGGCTCAGCAGTTAAGAGCACTGGCTGCTTTCCTAAAGGACCTGGGTTTGATTAAAGGTGGCACACGCCTTTAATCCCAGCACTCAAGAGGCAGAGGCAGGTGGATCTCTGTGAGTTCAAGGCCAGCCTGGTCTACAAAGTGAGTTCCAGCCCAGCTAGGGCTACTGGGAGACCCTGTCTCAAAGACCAAAAAAAAAAAAAAAAAAATGTATGTACAGGGGATCCATACCCTCTTCTGACTTCTGCAGGCACTGCACAACACGAGTACACCTACCTACACAAGTACACCTACCTACATGCAAGCAATACACTCATACGCCTCATATACATAAAATAAAAATACAATGAAAATTAGATCACTCTCCAGGAAAATGTATAAACACACATTTTTCTAACTTCATTCCTGGCCACCTTGTGTACCTGGCATTAACTGGGTGACCTCCAATTAATCCTCCATCCCCAGCTTCCTTTGCAGTTCCACAATTGCACCCACCCTAAAGGCACAGGGTTCCAATTAGAGTCCTAATTGGGCACAGCCCTGGCTAGCTGCTCTACCTTCCTGGGTAAGCCCCATTTCACAAGTTCATTCTGTAACAATGGTCATGTTCACTCATGGTCAACTGCCTGAGGCCTCCCTTCACAGAGGTAACAGATGCTCTAAAGAAACAGACAAATTCTAGCAAAGGGGAATGTTGACAGTTAAATAAACCATCCAGGTCACTAAAGGAAAGCCTAGTCATTCAACTCTTCTGGGTAGCTCTTCTCCCTGTTATCTAGTTAAACTGAGACCACACTTAGGAAGTAAGTCAGTCCAAGTAATTCTTTTATTGCCAAACACACACACACACATACATACACACACACACACAGAGTGCCTCCACTCCTGTCCCTGAAGATAACCACAATGTCCCTGGGATATAGGAGGAAACCTTAAGAGAAATGGCTACCTGGTTCTCAATGCTTAACTCATAGTGAGGAAGGGGTCTTTGTAAGGAACAGCCATTCATCATCCCTGGGCCTATGGACCCCTAGAGATGAGAATGGATGTGGACTAAAGATTTATTCACTTGTCTAGCATGCCAAGGGGGTTATGCTTAAGCTGTTGACAACACCTCTTCTAATGAGTACATACATCCAGGATCGCCTTAAAGAATCCAACTCCTCAGGTGGTCCACAAAGAGCAGTATGGCAAAAAAGGGAAGTCCTCAGAATGATGCCATCCTGGGCCAGAAGGGAGCACAATGTTCTCAGCACCACTCCTAAAGGCATCCATGCCAAGGGCTGCCCACTAGGGGCACTGCTACCTGCCTGGCTCAAACTGCAAGGTCTGGAGTAGAAATGGTCTGGCTCTGCAGCCTTCACACCATCTGGACCACTGGCTCCTCAGGTATCCCTTGAGGCTTTTCCACGACATCTCCTGAGGGTGGTTCAGGGGCTGGCGGGGGCTCTCCTGGGGCTTCAGACAGCACATAGTAGACAAGCTCTCGCTGGCCTTGGGTGTTGGTCTGATTTAGCACATGGATGAGAGAACTGGGGTTGTCCTGAGAAGCTGAGAAAGCTGTCCCCTCACCACTCCTATCTTCCTCTCTGGCCTCTTCCTCAGGTCTTGGCTCCCCTAGCACTGTTTCTAGAACAATGCCCTGCAGGCTGCTTTCATTCAGTGTCACTCCTGGGTCTGATCCTTCTTGGAGCTGCTGCAGCAGCTGCTGTGTCAGCTCCACACTTTCATAGCGAACTAGCTGCAGCCGCATGTAGCCATCTTCGTGCTCCTTGTACCTGGAAGAGAATACAGCACACCAGCAGAGGATGCAGGAATGGCCTGGAGACAGGGGAGTAGGATACAAGTATGAAGGCTGCAAGAAGCCTGGGATTCTAAGTGATGGGCAGTATGTAGAAGAAAGGGTCGGAGGGAAGGAGCATTATTCAAAACAGAAAAACTTATGCAGAAGTCCAAGCCAGGGTAGAGACTGTCCATGTAGATAAGCAGAGTATCCAAAGTTTATGAGAAGGCCAAGGAGCTGAGGGTCAAGACCCCTAGGCTGCAATTCTAGCTCTGATTTCAGGACTTTTGGCCCTACTTGTTGGGTCTGGCACTGTGCTCTGTATTAGAAAAATCACAACAATTTTTGCCCTACTGCAAAAATTTTTATAGCCAGGTATGGTGGCACAGGCTAAAAACCTTGGGAGATAGAGGCAGGCAGATCTCTGTCAGTTCGAGGCCAGCCTGGTCTACATAGGGAGTTCCAGGCCAGCTGGGGCTACAGGGAGACCCTGTCTCAAAAAAAAAAAAAGAAGAAAAAAAACATTTATCTTAATTTTATGTGTATTGTAAACATGGTGGCACATGCCTTTTTGATCCTAGCACTCAGAGGCAGAGGCACAGGGATCTCTGTGAGTTCGAGGCCAGCCTGGTCTACATATTAGGCCAGCTGGGGCTACTCAGAGACCTTGTCTCAAAAAAACCAAAAAAAAAAAAAAAAAAAAAAAAAAATTTATGTGTATGATTATTTTGCCTGAATGTATAAACCTGTGCCATTCAATGCCTGTGGAGACCAGAAGAGGGTGTTAGATCCCCTGGAACAGGAGTTACAATGGGTTGTGAGCTGCCATGAGGGTGCTAGAAACTAAACCCAGGTCCTTGCAAGACCAGCCAGTGTTCTTAATGCTGAGCCATCTCTTCAGTCCCCCTGCTACTATTTTTTTGGTTTGTTTTTCTGAGACAGGGTCTCCCTGCAGCCCCAGCTGGCTTGGAACTTGCTATGTAGCTGATCTCACAGAAATTCACCTGTTTTCAAGTGCTGGGATTAAAGGCATGTGCTACATGTCCAACTTTATGTTTTAATTTTTAAAAATTTATTTATATTTTGTGTATGAGTGTTTTGCCTGCATATATATAAGTGAACACATGTCATGCAATGCCCACAGAGGCCAGAAGGGGGCGTCAGATCCCCTGGAACTGGAGCTATGGATTGTTGTTAGTCATCACTGAATTCAGTGCTCCTAACCACTGAGCCATCTCTCCAGTCCCTCCATCTAGTTTTTTTTTTTAAGGTTGAGCCTAAACATAGAGAGTAATCATCAATATACCATAAAATTCCAGGTCTTCTTTTTCCTCATTAAAAGAATGTGTCGAGGGGCTGGAGTGATGGCTCAGCGGTTAAGGAGCACTGACTGCTCTTGCAGAGGACCCAGGTTCGATTCCCAGCACCCACATAGTGTCTACGAACTGATCTTAACTCCAGTTCCAGGGGAATCTGACGCCCTCTTCTGACTTCCGAGGCATTGTAGACACGGGAGTACTCACATACATGCAGACAATACACTCAAACACATAAAAAAAAAAAAAAGAATAGCAGGGCATGGTAGCACAGGCCTTTAATCCCAGCACTTGGGCGGCAGAGGCAGGGGGGTCTCTGTGAGTTCAAGGCCAGCCTGGTCTACACAGTGAGTTCCAGGACAACTGGGGCTACAGGGAGACCCTGTCTCAAAAAGACCTGAAAAAAAAAGTATGTGTTGAGCTGGTGTGATGGTTCAGGGGTACATGTAAGTCTGATGACCTGAGTTTGATACTAAGAACCCACATAAAGGTGGAGAGAACCAACTCCAAAGTTGTGTTTTGTCCTCTACATGAGCACTGTGGCATGCACACACTCACATGATAATAAAAACAAAGATGGAAAGAAACCTGTGGGGAGGACTGAGACATACCGAAAACGGGGGTGTCCTGAGGGCCACTTGAACTGGTGCTTCTTTCGAAGGTGCACGGTGAGGTTGTTGCCACGGGTGAAGCATTTGTCACACACATGACATTTGTACCTTGGCTCGGAGTCTCCCTGATGAGGAGGGAAGGAAAAAATGATGTCAGCTCTTCACCTACACCCACTAGCCTTTCCCCACCACCAGCCACACTTACTTCATGTACTTTTCGGTGATGGGACTTGATAGAGCTGAGTGACCGAGCACTGAAGCTGCAGTTCTCAAATTCACATCTGTAGGCGGACTCCTTGCTATGAGTGTCCAGGTGCTTCCGGAGATCAATCAGATTCTTGCAACTGCCAGAAGAAGTCAGGAGGGATTGGAGGGCATGGGGAATCCTGGAACATGAGCTCTGTTTTCTGGCCCCTGGATCCCCTTACCTGTAGTCACAACAGTCACATTTAAAGGGCCGGTCCTCACTGTGTCGAAATCGCATGTGGTTGCGGAGGGAGGAAGGCAGTGGGCAGGTCATGTCACACAAAGGACATTTATAGTGATTCACTGAGGAGCAGAGAAGAGACTATGATCTGAGGACTCACAGGACCTTAAGGAGAGGGCAGGAAGACTTGGGTGCAGGCTACTCACCATGGTTACGCATGTGGTCCCGCAACAGTCGCTCTGTGGCAAATCTCTTGGAACAGTGAGAGCACTGGAAACGCTGCTCTGGGGTGGAGCGAGCAGAACAAAGGGGACTGATGACAACAGTGGGGAACAGAGAGGAGAGGGGAACCATCCCAGATAAGAGGGAACCACCCAAGGAGCAAAGGGAAGCTTAGGAAGCTATGGATTGAGATTTGAGGTCCAGAACCTGAGTTAGAAGCCCAGCTTTACCACTTACTAGCTGTATGATCTCAGGTAAGTGATTTAACCTCTCTGAGCCTCAGTTTCCTCATCTGTAAAAAGGGGAATAAGAAGCCTACCTCATGGGGCTGTTGTGAAGATTCCCTGAGATAACTGATACTGCACTCAGTAAGTGCTGAACAATGTCTGTGAGAAGTCTAAGTTGTGCCTGAGGCCAAAAGCAGAAGGGAGCCAAGGTACAGATCTCTTCAGCAAGCCACCTCCCCTGGGAACACATCCCCAACCTCATTTCAGGCAGGACAGCCCACACTGGCCCCCTTCTTCCCAACTGCTTACGATCCAATGAAGTCTGACGACGGATGTGATCTAAGAACTTGGTGTTGTTGGCAAACATGCCCCCACAGGTAGGACAGGCTACCACCTTCTCCTGGGTGTGGCTGCGGAGATGCTCTCGAAGCTTACACCGGTCCTTGAAGGTACAGGTACAGCCTAGGAAGGAAGACCTGGTTAGGTTCCATCCCCAAGCCCCCTTCCCCAACTTGGCTCTGGTAGCCCCAAGTCTCTTCAGCCAGTAGCCAACTTTGCCCTGAAGGAATGGTCCCATCCCTGGCTCCTCCAGACCCTTAACACCCCAGAGTTTCAGAAGCCGGAGCGGATGGGTGGCCTTACCGTTCCATCCACACAGCACCACATTGTTGTCCTTGCTGACAGCTTGGTATTCACAGCACAGGCTGTGTGCATCCACGTGCCGATAGAACCACTCAGGATTGTCGAAGGAGCTCTGTGCCAGGGCAACTTGGGGTAAGAACTGAGAGTGGGTAGCAGGACTCTTACCCATATCCAAAGGGGAGTGTCTTGGCTCTCCCACAAATTAACTTGTGGAAATGGGAAAGTTTGAGGAAAGGAGTTACACAGAATAGCAGAAGTCTCAGAAACATAAGGTACCCCAGAAAGGGTCAAGGTATCTTGAGTCAATATCCCCAGCTTCCTTCCACCCTTACTCCTGGCACTGTCTGCTGACCTCGCAATGTTCCCACAGACACAAGAAGTGGTCAGGGATGTCAGGGATGATGTTCCGGCTCTGGAAGTCCAGGATGCAGGGACTGAGGTCAGCCTGGCTTTGCAGAGCTTGCAGCCCCCACTGTTTCAGCTTGGTGTGGTAGCAGTGGAAGTAGACATGGCGGATGAGGTCAGCAGAACTGTCCAGAGAGCAAAAGCCACACTCCTGCCACAGGCAGGAGAATTCTTCCACTGCAGAAAGGAGTTTAGAAGGAAGAGTCTGATACTTTCCAAGGCTCAGCTCACTTTCCAGGCATTAAACAGGGGCTCTGGCCAAGTTACCAGGAGTTCATTCAGCAAATAACAGTATTTAATGACTTTCATTTGTGTGTCAGGCATGTGACATAACAAGGAGTTAGGAGCCCCCGTCCTCATTCTCACAATGCTTTCAGAGAAAAAAAGTAATTAATAATCACATCTATGAAACTGTAACTAGTGATAAGGACTATGGGGGTAGGGGTATGTGGTACTATAACAGCATTAAAAACTGGACTGGAGAGATTCTTTACATTGTGCTGACTAAATTCTCTATAAGTAACTACAATTTTGTATGAGTGTATTGCCTACATGTAGGTAGGTGCACCCATGTCATGCAATGCCCATAGATTTCAGAAGAGGGTGTCGGATCCCCTGGAACTAGAGTTACAAACTGTTAGCCACCATGTGGGTGCTGGGAATCGAACCTGGGTTGTCTGTAAGAGCAGTCAATGCTCTTAACCAGTGAGCCATCTCTCCAGCCCCAAATAACTACAATGTTTTTTATAAACAAAGAAAACAAAATAGGAAAATGAACCTCCATTCTTCCAGGATGCTTTCTTTTCCTAGAAAGGACCTTGAGTTCTTTCTGTTCCTACGTCCTGTTCCCTTACCAAGTGGGTCATCCTCCTCTTCGTCCTCCCTGGAGCCCTGCATATGCTGCTGCAGGTGCTCAGTGACATGTTCGAAGAATTCCTCCAGGGCTGAACACACAAAGGAGCAAGACCCCCATTCACACTGGAGCCCCAGGTTCTCCTTCCGAGGAACTTTTCCAGGAGGTGACATGGCCTTTACCTTAGAGGAAGAAGAAATCCACAGCTGTAAGATTGTGCAACCGGGGGCAAAAGCTGGACAGGCAGCTTCCTGACAATCAGCAAGTGCTTCTCAGTGACCTGGTGCTTTTTTCAGTAAGGATGGATCAGTATTTCTCAGACTCTGGGGCTTGTCTGTTGTCCTGACAAGAGAGAATACAACTGATCATGTGCCAAGCACTGAGATAAACACTTAAAACATTTTTCTCTTTGACAGTTCTGAGCATACTCCCATGGGAAGTACAATACTTAGCTTCAAAGAGGCACCAGAGTTAAATACCCATACTCTATTGTCTACCACCTACGAACTATATGACCTTGGCCAAAATGGGGCTAACAAAATGTTTTGCTCTGAATTTCACTTACTATATGGCAGATACAATTTTTTTTTTTCAGGAATCATATTAAGGTTATTTTTGTTCTTGTCTAGGGGATTTTTGGTTCTGAAAATTAAACCTAGAGCCTTACACACACTAAGTATTTTGGGACAGGTTCTCCCTAAATTGCCCAGGCTAACAACTTACTCTGTAGCCTACAGTAACCTTGAACTTTAAATCCTCCTGCATCAGTCTACCAAGTAGCTATGACTACAGGTTTGTATCACCAGTTCCCACCATATTAAGCATTGTGTGTGTATGTGTCTGTGTGGAGGCCAGAGGCCAACCTTATCCCTGGCAACTCAGGGGTAATCTACCTTGGTTCTTCTGAGGTGTGTGTATTTATTTGCTTCTTTGAGACAGGATCTCCCTGTAGTCCCTGCTGGCCTGGAACTCACTATGTAGGCCAACCTGGCCTCAAACTAGAGATCTGCCTGCCTCTGCCTCCTGAGTGCTGGGATTAACAGTGTGTAGCACCACATCCAGCTTGGGCTTTTTATGGGGGTCCAGCAATCAGACTCAGGGCCTCCTTGTGCTTACATGGAAAGCACATTACTATCTCTCCAGTCTCATTTTATTTGTATCATGTACTGGCAACACTACCCTATGAGGAAGGCACCATTTTAAACCTCATTTACAGACAAGGACCTGAAATTGAAAGAGGTAAACTACTTATCCAAAGTCACACAACAGTGGTAGGTCAGGTTAGGTTGAGACCAAAGTTCTTTTCTTTTTATTCTATACAGCCTACAGATGACCCAGAAGCTTTATGCTCCATACTAAATCACGTCATTAAATCTATCAAAGCACCATACAATCCATCTTTGCCTAGCTTACCCAATGGTTGATCCTATCACTCCTGTAACAGTTAAAATGAAGATTCTGTTTAAATGTTAGAACCCTATCTGTCTTGTTTATACTATACCTTCAGTGTCTACACAGTACTGTTTTTTTTAATTATTATTTTTATTTTATGTGTATGAGTGTATTGCCTGCATGTGTGTAAGTAGCACCCATGTCATGCAATGCCCGAGGTCAGAAGAGGGCGTTGGATTCCCCTGGAACTGGAGTTATAGACGGCTGTTAGCCGCCATGTGGGTGCTCGGAATCGAACCTGGGTCTTCTTCAAGAGCAGCCAGTGCTCTTAACCACTGAATCATCTCTCTAGCCCCAAGTGCTAAGTGTTCTTAAGCACCTAGCAAATACAGGGGCTGGAAAGATGGCTCATAAGTTAAGAGCACTGACTGCTCTTGCAGAGGATCCGGGTTTGATTCCCAGCACCCACATGACAGCTACGAACCATCCTTAACTCTAGTTCAAGGGGAATCCAAAGCCCTCTTCTGACCTCCTCAGCATCGCACAACACGGGTGCACTCACATACATGCAGGCAATACACTCATACACATAAAAAATAAAATAAAATAAAAACAAAATTATAGGTTCATGCAAAGTTCTGGGAGATGTTAAAAGGCCTGATTCAGGGCTGGAGATGGCTCTGAGGTTAAGAGCACTGGCCATTCTTGCAAAAAACCCGGGTTTGAATCCCAGCACCCACATGGTTGCTAACAACCACCCGTAAGTCCAGTCTAGGGGATCAGACACCTTCTTCTGTCCTCTGAGGGCACTGCACAACATAGGTGCACTTATGTACATACAGACTTAACATACATATAAAATAAAAATAAATACTCCACAAAGCTGCCTCTGCCCCCACCATGGCATGTTTGTCACCCCTACCCTTACATCACAATAAGATTTTTTTTTTTTGAGACAGGATCTCCCTATAGCCCCAGTAGGCCTGAAACTCACTATGTAGACCAGGCTGGCCTTGAACTCAGAGATCTGATTGCCTCTGCCTCCCAAGTGCTGGGAGGTGAGCCCTTTCCACCCTTCCCTCATCTGGTCTTAGAGTATCCTAGCTCCAATTCAATGCCCTTCTTCCCACACCATGCTGCTCTCTGACTTTCTTGCCCATTCATATACTCTCTTCCTTTCTGATTCAACTATTTTTATCCCTGAATATATGACTTCTCCTAAAACTCTCTACTTAAGCAAATTCTATTCACCCTTCAAACCCAATGTCCCTGGTCATTAGTGACTGCTTTCCTAATTTACCCAGGTACAGATAAAAAAAAAAAACAACCCAGTTCCTGGGATAGCATTGGTATACACTTATTTTAATGAAATGAACATTGCTCTCCCCAGAATAACAGTTGCTCAGGGCAGGGAGTTTATTCACTTTTTTCACTTACTTTTTTTTTTTTTTTTTTGAGACAGGATCCCACAATGTAGTCTCAGCTGGCCTGGAACTCCCTATGCAGACCAGGATGGCCTCAAATTCAGAGTTCTACCTGCTTCTGCCTCCTGTGTGCTGAGATTAAACGCATGCCACAACCAGGACTTACTCACTTCTTATTCCCAGGGTTACCAGAGCTTTATATATCCTAAACGCTCCATAAATATCCCATTATGATCACATTTCAGGAAGCTTTCCTAAATTACCTCAAATATTAGAGACTACTTTCACCCCTTGGTTCTACAGATGCCAGTTGATGACATACTCTCAACCCTACTTTTAAAAAATATTTTATTTATTATTTTTATTTTTTTTGGTCTTTTTGAGACAGGGTCTCTCTGTAGCCCCAGCTGTCCTAGAACTCACTATGTAGACCAGGCTGGCCTTGAACTCACTATGTAGACCAGGCTGGCCTTGAACTCACAGAGATCCACCTGACTCTGCCTCCTGAGTGCTGGGATTAAAGGCGTGAGCAACCACGCCCAGCTTATTGTTTTTATTTTATGTGCATGAATGTTATGCCTGTATGCATGTAAATGCACCCGTGTGGCCCAATGCCTGCGGAGGACAGAAGAGGTGGTTGGATCCCCTGGTACGGACAGTTGTTAGCTGCCATGTGGTCAACCTTACTTTTATCCACTCATGCTCACTCATGTAGTCTTTGTGGGACCCAAGTTCAAATTCCTAGTATCTGTAAAAAGCTGGGCATTGCCACCTGTGTTTATGACTCCAGCTTTGGGGACTGAAGACTGGAAGTTCTCTGGAGCTCACTGGCCAGCCAGCCTAGCCAAAACTGAGCTTCAGGTTCAGGGAGAGAGCCTGTCTCAAAAAATAAGGTGGAGAGTGATAGAGGAAGACAACAGATGTGTTCTCTGGCCTCCACTTGTGTGGACCTGCATATATCCACATGTATATACTATACACACATAAAAAATATAATAAAAGATTAGGGCATAAAAATAGATACATTTAGGGGCTGGAGAGATGGCTCAGTGGTTAAGAACACTGACTGTTCTTGCAGAAGACCCGGGTTCAAATCCCAGCACCCACATGGAAGCTAACAACTGTCCGTAACTCCAGTCCCAAGGGATCTGACAGCTTCTTCTGACCTCTGCAGGCACTGCATGACACAGGTGCACTTACTTACCTACATGCAGGCAATACACGCATACACATAAAATGAAAATTAAAAAAAAAAAAAAAGATGCATTTAGAGTTTTATTTTTATTTCCCTAACTGGGCTGGCTATAAGCCCTTCTGAAGCAGAAACCATACAGTGACTTTCTGTACAGGCTTAAGTCTACTATTCTCACATAGCAATGAACACAAATATTTGAAACACATACCCAACTCAGACTGGTGGATAAGATCCAGAAAGATCACTGGCTAACAATGGGTTAACCAGTGATCTAGAATCACCTGAAACTTAAGCAACCTCCCCACATACCTCTTTATCCCCAAGTCAAATGAAGCAACAAGTACAGTGGCAAGCCACTGAACCAGGTGTCAGTGACATGCTTTGCTTCCCGTCTCAGCTGGGAGTAGTGGCACACACCTGTATTCCCAGCACTCTGGAGGTGAAGGAAGGAGGATCAGGTGTTCAAGGTCAGTCTCAGTTACATAGTTCGAACCAGCCTGAGCTATGTGAAAGCCTATCTTGAAAGAAAAGTTTCCTTACTCAGTGAATTTGCTGTGCCTAGTAAGTTTCTACTACATAACACTGTTCTCTTTTTTAAGTATAAAAGTTCATTAGCACAACAACCCTATTGAAGTGGGTGCTATTATTATAACCAGTTTTACAGATGAGGAAATGGGCCTAGACAAGTAATTTACAGGTCACAGAACCAGGAAGTGGAGACAATTTAAAGCTAAGGAATTTGGTGTCATTTTCCTTCTACATCTCCCTGTTTCACTCCCTCTCCACGCAGACATATCTGTATATGGAATACCTACTACACAGTTTATTAAGCAGTTATTTTGTTGTTTTCCTTTTTTTGTGCGTGTACGAGTTTTGCCTGCATGTGCCTGGTGCCTGTGGAGGCCAAAAGAGGACATCAGATCCCTTGGAACTAGAGTTACAGGTGCTTGTGAGCCATGATGTGGGTGCTGAGAACTGAACCCAGGTCTTCTATAGAGCAACAAGTGCTCTTAACCAATGAGCCATCTTTCCAGGCCCTAGGCTGTAGGTTTCTAAAAGGCCTGGCTTGTGCCCTACTCCGTTCTATCAGCAGGGCTGGCAGATATCAACTGGAAGCTCTTGCAATGTTTGTTTGAGACAGGATCTCATTATGCAGACCAGGCTGGCCTCAAACTGAAGATCCTCCTGTCTCACCTATGTGTTGGGACTACAGGTGTGAGCCATTGTCTTGCAGTATCTGGTTTTTCAGTGCTGAGAACCAAACCCAGGGCCTCACACATGCTAGGCAAGAGCTCTACCACTGAGTATACACCACCCGGCCCTCTTGGCATGTTTAAAGAAGCCCAGGAATCATTATTTGGGGCACACAATTGAGCTTCTCTAAACCTTTTTCTTTTTAAAACTTTTATTTTTAATTTTTTTTGTTTTTTTTGGTCTTTTTGAGACAGGGTCTCTCTGTAGCCCAGCTGTCCTGGAACTCACTATGTAGACCAAGCTGGCCTCGAACTCACAAAGATCCGCCTGCCTCTGCCTCCCAAGTGCTGGGACTAAAGGCGTGTGCCACCACGCCTGGCTTATTATTTGGTTTTTTGAGACTGGGTCTACAACTCACATAGTGAGTTGTAGACCCAGTCTGGCCTCAAGCTCACAAAGATCCACCCTCCTCTACCTCCATAGTACTAGAATTAAAGGTATCTACTACCTCAACCAGCTCGTAATTTTTTTTTATGTGTAGGAGTGTTTTGCCCATGTGTCTAAATGCATCATCACAAGCATGCAATGTCCACAGAAGTCAAAGTCAAGAGGGCATCAGATCCCCAGAAATTGGAGTTATGGATGGTTGTTAGGCACTATGTGGGTGCTGGGAACTGAGCCAGGGTCCTCTGCAAGAGCAGTGGGTGGATTTTTTTGTTTGTTTTGAGACAGGGTCTCCCTGTAGCCCCAGTTGGCCTGGAACTCCCTATGTAGACCAGACTGTTCTCTATCTCCAGAGTGCTGGGATTAAAGGCATGCACCACCACACCTGGCTGAAGATGGTGTCAGGTTCTTGGAGCCAGTTACAGGTCATTGTAAGTTGCCTGGTGTGGGATGTAGGTGCTGAGAACCAAATTCAGATCCTCTGAAAGCAGAAGGCACTTTTAATGAACTGGCTATGTAGACAAGACAGGACTCAAACTCAGATATCTACCTGCCTCTGCCTCTGCAGTGCTTAAAGGCATGTACCACTATGCCCAGCAATTTTGATTATTTTTAATTATGTATATGCATTGGAAGGGGGGAAGCTGTGCAAGTGGGTACAGGTGGCGGAGGTCAAATGTCCCTGGAACTGAAGTTACTTACATGGCTGCTGGGAATGGAACTTGGGTCCTCCAGCAGAGCAGAAAGCACTCTTATTGCTGAGCCATCTCTCCAGCCCCACTCCCCACTTAAACAAATTTTTTTATGTGTACAAGTGCTTTGTCTACATGTATGTAAGTGTACTACATGCATACAAGGACTGTAGAGGCCAGAAGGGGGTACTGGAAATCCCTGGAACTGGAGTAAAGGATGGGTCTTAGCTGTAAAGTGGGTACTGGGAACTGAAACCCAGGTCCTCTGCAAGAGTAGCATCTTAACTGTTGACCCACCTCTCTAGCCCCCTCCTCACTTTTTTTGAGATAAGATCTCAAATGTAACACTGGCTGGCCTCAAACTCAGAGATACTCCTGCCTCAGCCTCTCCAAGTGCTGGGATTAAGACTGAAGACATGTACCACCAGATCCAGACTCTTTTAAGTGTAAAATGGACACTACTAATATTAATATTAAAGCAACTGGTTGGGATACAACTCACAGACAGAAAGCTTGTCTACCAAGTGCAAGGCCTTGAGTTCAAGTCTTATTCCTGCAAAATTATTATAGCCATCTGGGGAGTCAATGGACCTGATTAGAAAGCTTCAACATTTTAATTAGGTATATGACTTGGGTCAATGTATACCTCAGCTCCTCGTGTAGCACGGAATATTTATGCTCACTGAATTAAGAAATACTCAGTGGACATATAAATGATCAGTGTATACCATGTAGTAGCACAGGCCTTTAATCCCAGCACTCCGGAAGCAGAGGCAGGCGGATCTCTGTGAGTTCAAGGCCAGCCTGTTCTACATACCGAGTTTAGGCCAGCTGGGGTTACAAGGAGACCCTGTCTCAAAAAGATAAAAAAAAGATCAGCCTAACACACCACTAGGGCGCAACAAGGTTTTAGAAGCAGGCTTGTTTTGTGGGTGAGAGGATCTAAAACATTAATTCGGGGGTAGGGACAACCCACAGGATCATCAGCAAAGAAACCACAAATAAATGTTAAGAGAGCTTATGGTACTTTTGAGTACCGAACGAACCCTGAGTGGTATTCAAATATAAGGCAAAAAAGAAAAGCCGGGCGTGGTAGTGCACTCCTTTAATCCCAGCACTCGGAGGCAGAGGCAAGCGGATCTCTGTGAGTTCGAGGCCAGCCTGTTCTATATATTGAGTACCAGGCCAGCTGGAGCTACAGGAAGACCCTGTCTTAAAGGCTGACCTATATCCTAAACAACTAAGGACTCACAGAAAAGGCTCTGACGTATGCACACCACAATCAAAACAAAGCGCCCGACGGAGGTGACCCACACAGACTGAAATCCCCCGGGGCTGGCGCCAAGGGGAGGCTCGCCACGGCGGTGAGGCCCGGGCCAAGCTTTATAGGACAGCTAGAATCCCGAGACCCGCGGGAGCAGTCCCCGGGCGCCGCGCCTCCAAGAACAGGAGGAGTAAGGCGTGGCGCCCGGGGAGTCCCGCGACTGCAGCCCCGACAATGAAAGCCGGAGCCGGGACGAGGGCCGGCTCGACATAGCCCAGCGACCAAGCGGCAAGTACGCTCGGCGCGGCAGCTCGGGTAGAACTCTCTGCAGCCCGTCCAAAGCACCCCCGGCCGCCACCCGCGCGGAGGAGCAAGGCCTAACTCACCTAGCGCAGTCTCCCAGACTCCAGCTATCCACCCACCTCTCACCATATACCCAGAGGGCGTTTGAGGGACGGTCAACGTCAGCCAATCAGCGCCCCTGAGTCGCTGACAGCCAATAGTCGCTGCTGCGTCTGACGGAACCCGTGCGCACCAAAACACGGAAGGGGCGGGAAT